AATTAAATGAACAGATATCATGTGTTCCTACAGAATAGTATATTTTTGTTTCTTATTTTCATTTGAGTAAAATAAGAAAACTTATCTATCTAAAGATACGATTTTCAGATTGCTTGTAGTGTGACTTATTAAAATCAATGTAAAGCTTGTATAGTACCAAACAAACAGGGCTAATATCTTTTTTACTGTTGCAAACAATAAATATTTATTTAGTGTTGCTTTAGAACATATTACTCTCCAACAGCAGTTTGGAGGCCTTTTAATTTAAAACAAACAGACAGTGATTTTTCAATTACTTCTGTATAGTTGTTTCGCGAGCTAATCTGCTAAAGGTTGATTGGAAGTACCACTAAGCCTCAGACTCTCTTGGATTAAATCTAATTCTTTTAGACTCTCTCCTCAAAAGTAACAGTGTTATGGTTGGTGATGATACTGTTCAATCTAGGATAAATTGACTGATATTTTTTAATTTCAAACAAAGTGTATTTACAAAAGATTATAGGAAATAAAAGATTTATCATATATTCGAATAAAGAACAAATATACATTTTCGTTAATACAAGGATAAAATCCAGACATTTAAAAGCTCATAAGAAAACTGCGATAATCTTAATTATATTATATTTATCATTTATATTTGTCTAAAGCAAAATTACATTAAACAATATAAAAGTTTACAAATTAATACTCTTTTCACTGGATATCGCATTTTAAAATTGACATGGTTTGCCAAAAAAGGTGCAATACAAGACTTTTAGCATGAGTATAGTTTAGCTATTCAGAGGTGGTTTTCAGAAAAGGGGTTTCTTGGTCCCAGTCTAGTGTTTTTCGTTTTCTAAAAATGTGGTAAGATGACAGTACAGCAAGGCTTGAAAGATTTTCACACATTGCTTTGAAACTAACACTAGGTTTGCAGAACNTACATTTTGCTGGTTTTAATCTCATTCCCATACTTTCAATCTTGGATTTTATTTCATTTTGAATTTTTTGATGTTTTCTCAGATCTGTTGTTATCAGGCAAAAATCGTCAGCATAGGGCAAAACTCAGTTTAATTCTAAGATTCCAAGGAAACAATGTGATAAAATAATAGACAAGCTCATTCAAAAGGTATAATCATATATATAATGCCTAATTAATACCCTAATGCGCTGTAAGCAAATCACAATTTGGTATATCTCAACTGAATATCAAATGTAGCTTACAAGAAACTGAGCGTACAGTTTATAAATCAAAACTGGTTTGGTGATGGAACTACAGAGGCTTCACATCTTTAGCGAAGGGAACTAAGGGGCGAAGGAATACAGAATGTGATGAAAACATCCCGTAACAATGTTATTATAGTTAATAAATATTATTTTAATATTAATAAGAAAACTTTAGACTTAAAGAAAGCCAGAGTGTTCATCATAGCAAAAACATGCTTGTTAAAGCATGTTTGTTTCACAAAGAAGGATTAATACAAGTATAAATACTTACCTACTCTACCTCCTAGAAGTATAACAGTTGTTTTCACAGCCACTGGTTCCTTAAAGCAAAAAGTGTAGTTTGGAGTATACACAATTACAGTGTGTTTTCATGGTTGCATTTGATATACCACAACAAATATGATTGTTGAAAAAAATTGCTAGAAATATGTCCTAGAAACTTTTTTTGTTAATTAATGAACAATTAAAACAGGGAATTAATACCGAACTCAGAAAAACATATAACGACAGCAAATAATTTTATTTAGAAAAAAAACATGACAAAAAACTTCACATACTTTAATATTAAAATTAATTACAATATATAAATACCTCAATATATCTATGTTTGGATTTAAATTGATTCTTAATGATGCTAAAGAATATTCAAATTTGCAATAGATTAAATACCTGTGGTGGCATATCTGGTCCAGACCTATACACAATTTAAATTACAATTTTATAGATATTTTAGATATTTCTGAGTTATTAAATAACTTTATTCTTTTATTAATCTAGAGTGTCAAACTTATGAAGAAAGAGTCTACAACAACTCAGTTTATCTAGAAATGAGGAAAGATGAAACTAAAAAAAAATACTTTTAAAGGAATGTAATGAATAACCAATAAGTACTATATCAGGAAAACCTAATACCTTATCTTTATTCCTACTTATAACTGTTATCATCATTTTTATAGCATATCTTGTAACCAACTAAAGGATTATTAACATTATTGTTCATTAACCTTGTAAATATATACATATACTAGTTGGGTTCCCGCTACACTGGTCACCCTATTTAACCTGTAACCTTATGTCTCAATAAATAGTTAGTTACAAGTAAAATCTAGTGTTGAAAAGACCTGGCTTAAACCCTAAGAACAGAAGACAGAAATACAGTGTGTTTTCTGTAATTAAGATAGATAAGGAAAGACTGGGATTTTGTGACTGGAATTCACATTTATTATATTACAATTTTTTGCTGTATTTGGTATAATGTGGAGGGTTAGGCACAAAGCATTAAACCGAAACCTCTTTGAATGATAATTAAGGATAATTTGCAGTGTTCCGTATTTAAAAATTGAATAATGGATAGGGATGGGCAATATACAGAAACTTTTAATGTTTTAAAACTTTTAAAAGGTTATAGGACAACATGAGAAGTTTCTAACATTTTAAAACTTTATTCTGTAGAGGTTTGCTTTTATCAAACATGCAAATGGTTTGTTTTTGCCTTACATTTTTACCTAAGATAACAATTATTTATTTTTGATAACTGCAAACTTCTACAGCATACAATTTGAAATTGTTGGACCATTCTCAGATTGTTGTAAAACCTTTCACAAGTCTAAAAATATTAAAAAATATGTTGTAAAACGAATCTAACTATTGCCAGTCGCTAACTATATTGCCATATTTTCAAATAAATGAGCAATTTATTTTTCTATAAAAAAATAATCTTTAAAAAGTATCATACCTTAGGGCACACTTGTTGTCTGAACCATTTTCCTAAATAATTTGGTTTTAAAGGTATTGATCTATTATCGCAGCACACTTTAATTTTCTAATCTTTGCAACTTGATAGTGTAAAACTTTGATATTTCAAAATTTTGCTTATTTGATCAAGTAGAATTATTTGTTTGAAATGTCAAAGGTCTACAACATCAGGCTTTAAAGATATAAAGATTAGAGAATTATAAATAGTAATGTTAAAACAAATTCGAAAAATAAGGAAGACGATTGTACCAACTCAAATGCCGATGTTAATTCTCTGGATGTGTGTGTACTCAGGATCCATTTCCGCAATACAACACACCACACATGTCAAATCCCCGCTCACCCTAGCTCCCGCTTCTCCCAGCAGTCAGCTATAAACACTCAAGACATTCACAACTCCGTCTCAACCCTGGCTCCTTCATGATGATGATTCAGATACAGAACTAACAGCAGAAGACACTGCTTACACCTATCTCCGCGCTCCACAATGTTCCAGAGATCCGGGCGGAACCAGACTTCCTTCCATTATCCTGTATACACGATAAGTCCGCAATCTCTCTCCCTTAGACTAAGCCTAGTTGTGAGAAAGCCTGCCGTCAAGATTGATGATCTGTACCACCATCATGAAGTTCTACAACCACCTTCTAACTGATATTCGTCAATAGTTTCTTATTAATTTCTAAACCAACCAATTTACAATCTTTGTGTCTTGGTCAAATATTTCAAAACAATATTATTTTTCTTAAATAAATGTTATAGAATATTTGGTTTTTTTCTGATTTCTTTATTAGAATATTTTCTGACTTTTTAAAGGTCAACAAGTAACTAGTTCTTTACTTTTACAAAGCTGTTTGTTGTCATGATAAGAAAATATTCCATTTTCAAATATTTTAAACCTATCAAATTATATTGCAAACATTATCAAAATATGGAGGATAAATTCTCAGTTACCTTTATCATAGCTTCAATCCAGTCTTTGTGGTCATACACATTTGTGTAAACTCCAGGTCTACTATCTAAACCATAAAATAGTCTATTAATGTTTATTGTCGATGCATTTCTCGGTTTGGAAAAGAACATGACAAAAGTGTGCGTGGCTTGTAGTAAAAAATACGACTTTTTGTTAAATTTTTGCAATCTTAAAGGGCGTGTTCGCGAAAAATGAAAGGGGTATAGGCTTAATGCGATAAAAAAGCGCTTTTGATCGCTACTAATCTTACTTCTATCTGTTGCGTCTAATGAGAAAATTGTTAAGGATGTCTCATACTGAATAACTTGGCGCATACAAATTCAGAAAATTGCAACATACAACTTAGACCGTAAAAAATCAATTTAATTTTTAATTAATTTGTTTTGAATTTGATTATTTCTCTTGTTGCTTGTGCAACTATCTAAGAATGCCGCGCACCACTCACATTTTTCTAAATCCGTTAAAACGTTTTCTAAAAAAATAGAATATTATAAAATATAAACTTTATACAAATGTGGTGAAAGATAATCAATGACTATAGGTTGTAATATCTGAATGATTTGTTAGAAATTAAATTGATTTTTTATGGTCTAAGTTGTATGCTGCAATTTTCTCAATTTGTATGGGCGCTAAGTTATTCCGTATGAGACATCTTTAACACTTTTCTCCTTATAGACGCAACAGATAGAAGTAAGATTAGTGGCAATCAAAAGCGCTTTTTTATCGCATTAAGCCTATACCCCCTTTCATTACCCCCCAGCATCCCAGACCTCCCTTCTAGGATTCTAGTGTAAAAGTAAATTTTAAGTGGGGTAGGTGAAAGATAAAATATCTCTCATCTAAAATGGTATTATTTGGCCCTACAAAGGGTAACTTAAAAAATGTTGCCTTATATTTCTTTATTAAACTTGAATATTTTAATATTTAATCTATCTATAAAATTAGCTTGGGTGTCTGTTTGTTTGTTTGTATCCAATAAAAATCAAAATGACTGAACCGATCAGGCCCAAACTTTTTGTTGGTCATTGTTTGAACCCAGGGAAGGTTTATGAATGATTAATATTTATAAAAAAAATGCTTAAAATATTTTTATTTTTGGTAAATTTTAAAAAAATTTTAATTTCCCAAATATTTTTCATGAAATCCGCGAAATTTTTTGTTTTGTTTACAGTGACACAAAGAAAATGTTCACAATTGAAATAGAAGATTGAAGATGGGAGCGAAGCACCCTAAGAGCCTGGATAGAATTTCTAGTATGTGATAAAAATTTAGCTTGTCTGTCAGGATGTTTGTCTGTTTGTTTGTTTGTTTGAATCCAATAAATGTCAAAGCAGCTGAACAATCGGGCAAAAATTTTTGTGGGACCTCGCGTGACCCTAGGGAAGGTTTTTTATTTTGTAAATTTTTTGTTTTTGTTTAACAATTTACCAAGATAACATGTTCACATTTTAAATAGAAGATGATACAAATAATAATAATAATAAATCTATTTTTTATAGATACATAAATTAATTTAGGAAGATTAAAGCTGCAAGTTAGGTAGCCTTTTATTTGGTAAAATTTGTTAATGCCATGAACAATTGGGAAATCAAAATCAAATCCCATTTTAACCCATAATTTGTTATATATCATAAAACTTACTCCCCCCCCAAAGGAAATCCCTAAATATGCCTTTGACTGCATGAAAACAAGATTTGTTTCTGTTTATGGCACTCAGGTTTAACCATGAATGCATATTGAGTAGAAATGGGCACTTTTTTTGTTTTTTTTAAACTCATTTTGAAATGTTTGGAAAATTTCCAAACGATCAGTTTGAAAAGTTGTTGTTTGAAAAAATTTGTAAAATTCGTTGTTTTGGAAAATTTAAAAAAATTCTTTTTAAATGTTGTCATTTTGAAAAAAAAATCATTTTCAGTTCAAAACGGGAAAAAAAAATATTTTTATCGTCTTCAGTTTTGAATCAAAAACAATATTTTATAGTTATCCGTTTACAAGGAAAAACGAAAATCAGAGAAGTTAAAAAAAAGAAATCAGCAAGTTGGTGTACAAACAAACTTTTGAATTTAGAAAAAGTTACACTATCTGCATTTAGGGATGTTAACGTTTTCATTTTGTTAAAAAACTACCATTTGGCTTTGAAAACGACAGCAAAAAAAACGAAAACGAAAAAATCTTTTTTCAAAACAATCGTTTTATAGTTTTTAGAATTCATTTTCTTAATGATTTTAAAGGACAACTCTTTGTTAACGAAAAAAGAGGAGGAGAGAGGAAACCGACATCAGAACTTTAAAGAAAATATTAAGAAGTTTTAGATTCCCCACAACTTTTTAACTTCATGTAAGACAACATTAGATTTTTTTCAAAAATGATTGTTTTTTTTAAAAACTACCATTTTTTTTAAATAAGTTGTTTTGTTAACAATTGACTATGATGATTCTTTGTTAATGATTGTTAACATATTTATCAATCGTATACAAAACGATCGCTTATCAATTTTATAAAAACTATCGTTTTCATAAACGATTGTTATTTGTTTGCCAAAAGTGGGTCGTTTTTAAAAACTAAAGTTTTTTCCAAAAACAAAATGATCATTTTTGAAAAGGTTCAATAAATGAAACAAAAAAAGATCGTTTTCTAAAACAAATAACAACCCTAACTACATTATATTTACTTTGCTTTTTTTTAAAGGATTAGTTTTTGTTAAAAAAATAGTTATTTTTGATAAAAAAATGATCAACATTTTTGCTGAAAAAGGTGTATTACATCTTTAGTGAAAACATGAATAAACTCTTGTTTGTTTTTCTATTGTTTTATTTTTATAGAATTTTTTAATTTATAAAAATAAAACCATCCAAACCAGCATTTTTTCAATTAAAATAAGAATATAGATGGCAACAGTCACATTGCTGGTTCATAATTTTGATAATTTCTTAGATTGTGTATAACACAGATATAAATGTACCTGTAATTCCACAAAGATCCTCTCCAAATGATGTTATTCCAAGTAAGTAGTTTCTACATACAAGACAGCTCTTATATACCTTTGTTACAAAACGTTTTCGTCAAGTTTTATTTTCCCTTGCCCCTGAATACCCTGGAGAAAAGTTGTGAAGCCCCTACGGACGGAGGAGAGTTGAGTCTGTTCCCCAGCATCAAAACCGGTTATAAATTGTAAACTTAGTGTCAGTGCGTACATTCCTCTAGTCAGTTAAACATTGATATTTGATAGAGATACCTGTGTTGTGACTTTGCTTAAGGCATATTAAGGTATTCTTTTACGATTTATGTATGATTTTTTTTGGTTTAAACTGAGACTTATTCGATGTGATCTTTTTCATGTTGAAAATATTTCTTTGCTTTGAATGAATAAATTTGGTCAATCTTTTAAGATTGAACAGTGTACCCTAAATCCAGAGCACTGGTATACTGATCTGAGAGAGTAGATTCGAGTCAAGAGTTTAAGAGGCTTGTAGGAAGTTCCGATCCAATGACTTTTAAGCTCTGAACATCCTATTTACAGATTTTGCAAAATCCAGTTTTGCTTGATACATTTCATCACTGTGTCATTTCAAAAAAAGAATTACAGATAGAAATGGTCCTTGTTATTGTGAATGAGCAATAAACTTCAAAACGAACTAATTTTTTTAATAAGAGAGTTGTTCAGAAAAATAACAAACGATGATCGAACAATTTGGTTCACTCAGAGAAAATAAACTAAGGAAAAAAATAAACACTTTAACTGTTGATGATCCTTTGAATTTTAGCAGTCTGTGAGATTTTTTACATTTGATTTCTAATTCGTTTTTCTAGAATTGTTTTGTATAATGAACAAACACTTTTTTTAAAAAACGGATGAACAAATATTTTTTCAAACAAACTTAAAAATTGATCGTTTTTTTACTGAACAAACAATTTTTTAGGACAAAATTTCTAAAATCAATAATTTTAAACTGAATGAACAATTTTTTGAATACTTACTGAACAAGAAAATTGAAAAAAATTTGATTGCACCCATAGATAGATAGACACTAGTTAGTACATTTACTTTAAATTCTAGTTAAGGCATTGAAAAATTTACTAATCAAGAGATCACTGAAGTTTAGCACACTTGTCCACATCCGGTAATGGGAATAATGTCCAAACTGGTGTTCAGTGTTAATGGGTCCGATTCCAGCACTCCCCACAAACCTGTGGTCATATGGTTTAACAGTTATGACCACCCGTAAGAGGACAGGGGGTGACTGTAAACAACTCTTGCATATCTACTCAATAAGAAAGGAGCTTTAAATGGATTGATCCAAGTGAATGATGATGAAGAAAAGAATGGTTGACAAGCAGTGAGAGTCTATGGTTGCCAGCTTTAGGTACCTGGAGGTATCCGATCCGGGGGGGGGGGGGGGGTTCAAAAATCATTCTTTAGGAAATTACCTATTTGAAATTAAGTTGTGAGAAAATCTTGTGAATGTCTGCAGAATATATTACAAGAAATTCTTTTGAAAACAGTCACAAGAAAAAATTCTCTAGAATTGATTACAAGAAATTCTCTGGAATTGTTCTCCTGGAAATAAAAATCTTTGGAGATGGTCTCAAGAAATATTCTAGAGATGGTCTTTGTAAAACATATGCTATGCTATTTGATTGATTTATAAAGCTGATAAAATTTTTAAAATAAAGCTGTTCCTGTTGTTGACTGCATCAAAACAAAAAAGACCTCCCCCACTAAACAAAATTTTTTGTTCCTAAGAGATTTTCAGGTTTTATAGCTTTATTGGCTAGGCAGTTTAGACTTCAAAGATATATTATCCAAATCCTGGAAATAGAAAATTAGTAACATTTGCAGGGCCTTTTTAAAATAACCATTTGATCAATCAAATTTTAAAAATTTTCACAAAGTTTTTTAACTTTATCAATTTATTTTTTTTTATTTTTTTTATGAAACAAATTATTTGATACATGTTTTTAATGCAGAATGCAGATAATCATTTTTCCACTCTTCTTGTTTCCTGGCTGTCCTGTTTTGCTCATTCAAGTAGCTGCATACCCCCCCCCCCCCCCGGATGGTTTAATTATGCAGTTTCGAGAGCTGATCAGGCAATTTGTAGTATTTCAATATCAGCTCTTGAGTTTCTGTATTTATTCCAGTTGTTTTTGATATCGGCCATCTATGCAGGTTTATTGCTGACATTGTTGTATAATGAGAACTTCCCTTTGTCAGCTGCATTACATGTATCAGTGTCTTGCAGTAATTTAGAAAGAAATTAAAAGACCTCCTAGCCTAAACTGCATTCAGCTAGGTTCAAGGTAATTTAGATGTACCCCCTAGGAAAGGAACACCCATGATAACAATGATGATCTCTCACAGAAAGCTTTGATTAAGATTCCACAGCAAAGCAGTTTCTGAGTAGGTAGGCGGATGAGGATGGGGGTGTAAGGGTAACAGGTATGAGATATACCATAGTCTTCACTTTTAACATGTATTCCCACGTGGACAAAAAAAGAAAAAATAACCGCTAAGCATGCTGTCCCATTGCTTTAAAACACAGGGAGTGTGTCTTTTGCCTATCATTGTCAAAGGTCTGCCATGAGTAATACAGTTTCCATTTTTTGAAGAGTGAAAAACCAGTTTATGGTATTTGATTTAAATTCTATTTAAGGCTCTGTTCCCCCTTAAAACATGTATCAGTGTGTACTTCATCCCTGATGTTTTGAGTTTCTGTATTCTTTCTGTATTAATCTTTATTACTATATCTTGTCCTTGCTATCTAGACTTCTATACATGCTATCTAGACTTCTATACAAGTACAACGCAAATATTGCCCTTTCTCTCAACAGGCTTAGAAAGCTCTGCTGGCACCATTCCTCTGGGAGGTTTGGATATAAAAATTTTCACAAAGTGAGAATGAGATATTTTAGACTAAAAAAACATAAAAACCTCAATGGTTACCTATTAAAGAATAATTCAAGCAACAAATATTTGTATTAGTTGAAGTATCAATGAACCACTGCCATTAGTAATATGATAAAGAAATGATCATTTTTTCATCAATTTGAATCAGAGCTCCAAGAGTTGTGGAAACTTTAAAAACAGAAACTTAGTTTAAGAGGTTTAGTTTGACAAAAATATGCCAAGAGTCGAAATTGCTTGTAGTGCACAGCAATGGGCTCAGTTTCATTTGCCATGATACTTTTGCCATAATTACACTTTCCAAAATGTGTTTGCCATAAGTAACACTTGCCACAAGTAACAGTTGCCATAAGTTACACTTGACATAGTTAAAATCAAATATAGTTAGAATTAACAAACATATATATACATTTTTTTTATAACCACAAACTACAAATAACTTTTTCAACAAATCCAATTCAGAGCTATCAGGTTTAGGTGATACTCTTTTATGGGAAGAGTATTGTACTGTCAGACTGAGCACATTTTAACCGAATATTTCCAATATTTCACTTCTGAAAACAAGGCATTGGCTACATAGGTGTAGTTGTTACTGTCCCAAACCATTAGTTTAACTCTTAATATGGTTCTTAACTTACGTCAACTGTTCTGCTTTAAAACAATGAGAAAACCAAAGTTTGGAATTTTCATGGGAAAATTTTATAAGTTCTAAATATTTTTGTTCAAAATAAAAATTCTGTTTGGTTTGGCAACTTTTTTTGCAGAATCTTTCCTACTTTCTGATAGGTTTTACATCGGTATGTTTAAGGATATCTACTCGATATAAAGCAATATTTATTAATACTTATTTTGACTCAAACTCTAAACTAATGAATATAGAAAAAATATGCCGGTTTAAGAAAGTTTTAGATAGATATTTGCAATCATCCAGAACAAAAAGTTTTATCAAAAATTAAACTTAAAAAGTTTTATAGAAGTTTTTAAAAATTTGCAAAAAAAAATCATTTCTGACACACCTAGGCTTTGTACGCCAATATAATTCACCAAAACCATACTGCAGTCCTTCAATTATCATACAGGGAAATTTTCATCTTTCTAAACATCCCAACGAATGATTTGACAGGTTCTTCAAAAAAAAATTTTTTTTCCATGGGCAGTGCCGAGTCATTCAGCTAGTCATTTAACATTAGAAAATTCTGACAAAAGTAATAATAGCAAGTGTAATTATGGCAAGTGTAACCATTATGGCAAGTGTTTCTTATTGCAAATGTATACTGGCAAGTATAATTATGGCACATGTAACTGAGCCAAGCAAGGGGTTTGGAAAATACAAGGCATGCTCAAGAAAATGCCTAAAAGTAACAATTAATCTTCTGATTTATTTTAAATGTTCTCTAAGGTAAATGTTGTTTGTTCCCTGTCTCCTTTACAGGTATCTCCAATAATTGTTTTGTCAGTTTCTTCACCTGAAATAAATTTGCTGCAAAAATGTGTAAGTTGTGCTGATAACAAAAAAAACTGTGTTTCCATTAGAAACCCTAATTAATGACACAGAACTTACCCTATGCATAACCGTTGTATTGAGAGGGGTGGGGTAAATAACTAGAAGGTGAAAGGAGAGATTAAAGTGGAAAATTAGTTGCAATTTTTATCTTTTATCAATTTTAATCAAGTATCTTGAGCCACAAATATTTCAATGACAGTCTACACCTGAGTTGTATTTTTCTGAATTTTTTAAATTGCAGGCTCAGGACACTAATTACTCAATTGGATGGAATGGCCCTATTAGCAATACCTTACAGAAACAAGTTTGTTTACCTAATGCACACAGTTGATTACCGCTTAAACAAATCAGTGTTTGCTTAAATTACAAAACAAAGTTATATACATATAAATCCTCCTCTTTGTATTTTAAACAAATTTGTTGGAGCTTTAATATTTGCTCTATCATATCATTTACTTTATATGGATTTTGCTCTATATCCACCTGCTCTTTATTTCATTAGCTCTATGGACTGAAGAGCAAATAATTAATAGAGCAAATGGAACTAGAGAAAATAGTCCAAAAGAAAATTGAAATAGGGCAAATAATTTAGCCCCAGATTTGTCTCCAGGATATCTTCTTTTAATGCCTTACCAACTTATCCCTATTAACCTAAATTTTGTTTTAACCCACTTAATTGGTTGTTTGGTTGTAAAATGTGTGTTTCCATGAATTTTTTATGCAATCAAAACAAGAACAAATAATTCATAAACTGTAGCAGACCTATAATGTTAGGAATGGACCAAATCTGCAAAGTTATTTTTTTAAACATATATATTTTTAAATCCATGCTGAGTTTTTGATTTTGATAAGTTTTAGATGATTCTTGTTTTCATTTTTGAACATATCCTTATTTTGAAATAATTACTGCATTTTAGCTCAAGTCACGATTTTGGAACATGTCCTGGTTTTGAGACAATTACTCAAATTCATAAAAATGTCAATTTTCAAGTATTCACACACTTATGTCACAAAACAAGATTTTTTGATAAAGTAAAATATAAACAAAATAGAAAATAAAAACATACTGTTCTTTTGTAATTAAAAAAAACATTACGACAGTGAGAAATCAAAATATTAATTTTATTTTGTTCTTGAAACGTAGATTTAAATAATAATGCGGGAAATTGATTGTTTAAAATACATCAAAACTAAATCAACTCTATTCTCTTATTAAACAAATAAAGTGTGAAACTTAAATTCTGAATATAATTCAGCAGTTAATTTAAGCTTCATAAGATAATTTTTATTTTCAGTAATTTATTTGGAAGTTCGGAAAATGTTGAGTTGGGAAATTCAAAAACAGGAAAGTGGGTTTAGTCTTGAAAAGGCAACAATGATTCAAATTCAAATGTTAGAAAATGACATTGTCTTGATAGTATAATGTTTTAATGTTAGTTTTTTTTTTTCACTGATTTTTCCTAATGGGCCATTTCTTATTTCCTGCTCTGTTCTCACACTCCATGATTTGAACTTCTGCTTTCTGCAGTCTTGTTGTTGGTTGGATTAACCGACTAATAAAGAAATATTGTTAAAATATATAGTTTCTCGGTTCCCCTTTTTAATTAAAGATTGGTCATTTCTTTATGATGATTATTCATTTTGAAAATCCCATGAAATCCATATTTTACGTCAAAATACATATTTTTCAAGCACTTGTATTAAATTCTGATGGGATCCTTTTATTATTACAATAGCAACAGAGAGAGGCAAAATTAGCAAAAAAAATACAAATTCATGAAAAAGAGAAATATGAGATGAGATGAACTTTCTACCATTTTAGATAATCCAGAACAGGCGCTCATTCAGTATAAGATGATGTATTTTAAAAACGATATTTACCTTGATAATCCAAAGCCTACAACATATGCCATCTTACCAATCACTAGTTGATCAAACACTATTCAGACACTATTGTGGAGAGTTGAAGATATAAACAAGTGTGGTAGGGTTAGGAGAAAAAGTGACTTTAAGCAACATCACTGTTCTTATAAATCTAAAAGCACCATTATTCTTGTATTTTTTAACCATAAAGTAGGATTTCCAAGTATGAGCAAGTACTGCAAGAAAATAAAATGTCTTAACCTAACATTTTTAAAACTCTTTCGAAAATATGAGAAAAAAAGGCTGTTGAGTGCGCCACTGGGAGCTGTATTGACAGAAAGGTGGAAAGGGGGCATTGGGATATGGGGAAAATCTAGCTAAAACATCAATATATCAATATTGACAAATTTACAAATGGTAATAAAACCTAACTTATACTGACTGATGTTATCAAATATTCAAAATTCACTACATAGGGTAACAAAAAAATAAAGAGATTGAAAATAAGAACAAAAACTAAGATGTTTACAGTGATTTACTTTTTCCTATATATTTAACCTATCATTGTATTATTATTATAATTAGATCTGAGAGACTTATGATTTGGAGTATAGTGGGCTGTTAGTGAGACCTAATGTCTTTAAGAAATGACTGAAATAAAAAACTTTTAATAGAAAGGTACAGGGTGTCAAAATGTAGTGATGTCAGTATAAACAAGTTTGCTTAAAATGAGCTAAGAAAGTAAATGTTTGCGATGTTTGTTCCTGAAGGTTGGAGTGGAAGACAAATAGGCATAATGTGAGTGCAGGCAGTATCTACTCTTGAGCGTAAGGTTAGCAAAGCTAAATCATTCCCTAAATTAAGTAAATTTTTTGTTTATAGTTTATAGTTGTAATTTTAAAATCAAAGAGTCATTTTCGCACTGTTATTGAAATTATAAAACAAATTTATTGAAAATTCATAAAAATCTTGTTATTTAATTTTAGCTCCAGAAACAGCTTACAAGGCATGTAAAAACAGTGTCAATAAACCTCTTGATTAGATCAGAACTAGGGTAGTTAATGAGCTTGACTTTTCACCTTACAGACTCTAAGGCAAATGCTTGAACCTACAATTCCGGAAACCTGCTAAAGCCTACTAATTTCATGTTGAGCTTGGTTGAAGCATGCTTATTTAAAAAAGAAAGAAAAAAATTTGTTCAAATAATCTGATTTAAACGATATCTTAAATATTGTGTGCAAAATAAATTATTTATATTTACACAATACACATGTACTTCTATTTAAACTGTAATGCTTAAATAATTGCTTAACAACACTAAAAACTGCCATGGATAACTTTTCATTTCCTGCTGTGGGGCCCAAAATAAAATAGAATATGAAGACAACAATGAAGCCAGAAGTGTCTTCATTTTTTCTTGTCAATATAATAAACATTTAAATAAAAGCTGTCCTGGTTGTCAATTTTTGATGGGATACACTTTATTATGGCTACAATTAGACAACATTCATCTACAAAGGAATTGAGTTTTAGCCACAAACTTAAATTTTCTAATTCCTAAATCTTTGCAAACTGATGATGTAAGCCTTTGATATTTTAGCTTTTGATATTTTAGTCTATGAATTCAGTTAGACCGAATAATCAAAGTTTGAAATATTATAGGTTTATCAGGTTAAAAAGATATAGAAATAAGAAAATTTGAGTTTGTGACAAAAACTCAGTTCCTTTTGTTGTATTTTGCTGTTGTTGTAATTTTCGTTTATTTTTTATGAAATCCACATGCTGTCAAAGTTAAAACCACATAAAAACCAAAAGTATCGTTTTAGTACAGTTGTTTCCAGCTCTTCATAGAGTTCAGACCTCCATCAGTTGCTCCTGGTTTTAAAGTTGAAAGAAAGCCCTGTGTGTCTCTCTCTATCTTCATCCAGGAAAGGGGAAACAGAAAAGGGAAAGGGGTCAAATCAAGGGGAAACCGGAAGGTAAAGGGTACAGAGAAAAGGAAAACAGAAAGGGAAAGTGGGAAATGAAAGGGAAGGAAAAGGGGATGAAAGTAGAACGGAACGGGGATGGGAAAGAGGAAAGGAGACAGAGAAATGTAAGTGGGGAAAAGGGGAGGAAAAGACAAAGGGGATGGGATGGGAAAAGGAAGGGAAAGAGAAAAAAACGTGAAATGGGAAAGGGGAGGGGAAAAGGAAATTAGATAGAAAAGGGGAAATGAAAGGATAAAAGGGAATAGAAGGGGAAAATGAAAGGAGAGAAAAGGAGAGGGGAAAGTGGAAAGAAAATGTGGAACAGGAAAGGGGAAGTGGGCAGAGAATGGAAAGGGGAGTCGAGAAGGATGGGGGTAAGAAAGGTAATAAAATGTAGGTAAAGGCCATGAAAAGGAGAGAGAATGGGCAGGGGATAAGGACAAAAAGGGAATGAGAAAAGGCATTAGAAAGGGAAAGGAATGAGGAAGGGGAGAAAGGGAAAGTAAGAATGATATGGGATAGAAAGAGGAACGGAATGAAATCTTACCCCTCCCCTTTTGCACATTTAATTTCGCGCAAGTCCCCCCCTTTTCTACGATGGGCGGATTTTTGGTAATGTCAATTTGGTAATGACAATTTGGTAATGACAATTTGGTAATGACAATTTGGTAATGACAATTTGGTAAGGCGACAATTTGGTAACAACAATTTGGTAATGACAATTTGGCAACCTAACCCAAAATAATGAGAGAAACAGCACATTATTAAACTTTTAATAGACCGCAGCGCTCGGCCCCCTAGCCCATCCTAGCCGCAGCACTCGGCCAAGAAATGTCTTAACCTAACCTAACCCTAAATAATGTGAGAAACAGCAAAATATTAAACATTAAATTTAATTAAATTTAACTTTTATCAACAAATTGTCACATTTTTATAGTTACCAAAATGTTATTACCAAATTCTCTTTTTTGTAGTTACCAATTTGTCATTTCCAAATTGTCACTTTTGTGAGCTTACCATGTCATTACCAAATTGTTGTTACCAAATTGTCGCCTTACCAAATTGTCATTACCAAATTGTCATTACCAAATTGTCATTACCAAATTGTCATTACAAAAAACTGCCCCCATTAAAAAAACATTTTCAAATTCCACTAACACATTTGCGCCCAATAATTTAAAAATGCCCCCAAAATTTTTCAACTTTCCCTTATATAATTTTACTTTGAATGCCACTAATATTTATAAAATTGCCCCCAGAAAATATGAAGTTGAAACAATTTTAGCTATATGCTTAATGCAAGTGTTTAGCATGTCTTCTCGCAACCCCCATGAAGGTCAGGGGAGATTACATTAGGAGAGGATTAAGGGAAAATGATGGAAGACTAATGATAGTCTTCAGGAGACATAAAAAATGCCCCTTTTCCACTCACTCAAAAATTTGTTTGCACCCAGTAAAAACAAATTTTGCCCCCAATTTTTTCCTTAATTATCCTTTTAAAACAATTTGCTCCCTCTTCATTCAAATTTGTTAAGAAAGGAATTATGAAAAGGCAGAAAAACTTAATAAATGCAAAATATTTTTCTATTTTGATATTTATACTTCTTACGGTTGTAGTTATAATAATTCTAGTGCAGGTCACTTTTAAAGGGGACACAGCAAAAAATCATATTTTGGAGTAAAATGGTCGTTTAATGATGGGAATTAAAAAAGCAGTGGACTACATTAAAAAAAGAATAATGTATTTTAATGAAAATATCATTGAAGTACTAAAACATTGTGCTTTGATGTGCAGGTCCATTTTAAAGTTTTAGTCTAAAATATGAATACAAAATAAACATTACTATGGCGGTAAATAAGATCAAAACTGCATTTATTAGTAATACTTTTGTATGATCTTGTGCAATATGTTGAAAAAAATGGAGAAATTATGCAATTTCCCACTGAATAACACATTTTTTGCTCCTTACAGGGTTCAGAGACTGTTTCTGCAGGGTTTCAGGGACTTTTCCACAGGGTGCATGGCCACTTAGCCTTCCCTCCCTCAGTGTGGTGCACCCACACCTCTCACTACCCCTGCTATGGATTCTTAGTTAGCAGCAAGGATGTAATGCAAGGAAAGTTATTTCAGAAGTGTACACATCATTTGTACTGCAGTGTACTGTCTCTGGGCGGTAATGTAAACACAAGATGAATGTCAAAGCCTGACATGGGATCCATCTTTCACATAAAAAAATCTATTATATTATATAAAATATTCTGGTCATAGGAAACTATTATGTGAATTATCAAAATTATCAAAATTTAATGCTTTTAACCTCCTCGGATACTAAACGAACACATGTTGCATCTATTCTTGTTAACAAAATCCACCCAAAGAGAACTGGTTTCAATATTTACGCAGAGTATACACGATTGAAATTAACTTTTCTTGCATTACACCCTTGGTTAGCAGGGTTATTAGGGTTAACAGAGTTCAGAAACTTAAAAAGAGAGCTGGTGCCTCTGTATTCAGTTCTAAAAACTGGTTGCCCGACAACTGCGGGATGTCTGAAAGAAATTGAATGTTTTTTATTGTATTTTCATCTAATCTAATTTATGAAATTGTGTTAAAATTCAAATCTTTCTGTACTTACCAAAAATCAAAAGAAATTTTGAAAAACTTGTGTTGAATTTAAAAAGCAGCTCCAAGTTTAGTTAAAATGTTCCTGTATAGGTTTGTGGGGGTAGAGAGAGGTAATACAAAATATGTCATCAAATAACCTTTTCTGTTTCAGCATCAGCCCACCGGCAACTTCCTAAAGGTTAGGTTAGTTATCCTGAGGCGCCACAGGCTGCCATTTGGGCCAGGTGGCACAGCTAGGATGGGTCAGGGGGCTGAGTGGTATTTCTATATTTGGCTAGGGGCTAAATGCTCAGCTAGGACATGCTTGCGAAGTTGCTGCTTGGAAATAGAACATTTGGGTATTTTTCAATTTACTACCAAGCTACCCTTGAAATAGTTAACATTAATTACCTTGCAAAATACCATTTAGTTGTGTTTCTTTTACCCAGCCTGGAACAAAATAGTGTAACAGTTTTTGTTTAATTAATTGTTATCAAATCTTTATTAATAATTAGTACCTTGGTGCAGATCAAGCTTTTTTAGAGTTCTTACTTCTCCATATCCTAAAAATATTCATAGGGTACAGTTGTGAATTGGAATTCTGTCAATGAGGACTGAAGATTTAATTTCAGTCTTTGGTCCTTCCCTTTCCTTTTTAAGCTGTGCAACAATTTGTGTTCAAAATTTTCCAAAAAAAAATTCAAAACCTTTTTTTAACTTTCCATGTCACATTTTTATTCAACCCAAACACCTGCCATGGTTTAAAGCTGTACATCGTGAATTAGACTTGCCATCCTATCAATGATGGAACATTTGAAATAACATCTATGATACCTTCCTTTAAGTCCGTCAATAAATTTGCAGACAAAATAAAAAAAACTGAATCAAAACCAGATTAAACTTTCCGTTTCCCATTTTTAATAAACCCAAAAACCAAAAAGTAGTTTTAAAAAAAGGTGAGATCTAAATTCAAAACAGGCCACCAAAATAAAAGAAAAGATGAAAAATTAATGCATGCTTCATGGTGTAATTACATGGCACGGGCGGGGAAAGATTTTCTTAAAGTCTACTGCTGATTTGTCGACGTCAGATGTTTCTAAATTTTTGGAATTTTGATAAGCCTTAACATAGAGCTTAGTAAATGGAAGAAAACGGCAATAAAAGTCAACCAATCGACCTGATTTTTTTGTGAAGACAGATAATAGGCTTACCTGGCTGCATATTCATTTTCATAGAGATATCAACAAAATTTCAAATCCCAGAATTAGCAAATTATATATAATTAGCCAGTTAAAGGATAAATAGAAAGATTGCCTAATAAAGGAATGGGAGAGCTTTGCCTCAAACGTTAATTTTTTATACTTGGACAACTTTATCATAATATTAGATAGATAAATTGATATAACTATAGATAAATAGTTGGATAGAAACCCAGCAAGAAAACCTACTCTGCTTTCCTCTTGTCCTTCTCAAGCAGAGGAATCCTTTTATCCTCTGAAAACTGAGAATTCTCCTCATTACCTCCTCTTGTGGAGTTAACCAACTCTGCAGCATGTTTAAGGGTTCACCTTTTGTCCTCCGTTCTTTGTATTTTTTCTTGCTGGGTAGATAGTTAGATAAATATATTGTTTAAAAGATAGATAGATTGATAGGTAGATTGATAGATAGATTGATAGATAGATTGATAAATAGATTGATAGTTATAAAGATATATAGTTAAATAGAAAGATAGATTGATAGGTAGATTTATGTATGTAGTTTTATGTGAAAAAAATGAAAAATTGAAAGAACATTTTTTTAATAAATCATTTGGAACTGTTAATTACTTGATTGGATCAGATTCAGCTGAGAAGCCGGATCCGATTAATTAATCAAAATCTACAAAATTGAACCCCCATTACTCATGCTTAATTATAATTGAACGCGGCGTTCAGTCAAATCAGCTGTAAACTTGAAGAAAATCTTTCCCCACCTCGCACACCTGATGTTTGCACTTCAACCATGCAGCAATTACATGAAGTCATCTTATTGTTGTGTGAGTAATTAAGATCAGTAATGGAGGTGGGAGAGGAGGAATGGTAGGAAAGGTCTTTGGAGGAAATTAAAGGGTTTGTAAGTGAAAAATTCTAAATTTTCAAAATGAGAAATTTCTTAAAGAATCAAGTAACTTTATTAAAGGAGAAATATAAATAGACCTAATTCAGTAGAATCTGTCACACCCAAGTAAACCAGAATATCATGCTCTCCAAACCTGGTACATAAATAACAAGACTCAGAAAAGAATGAAGGTGGCTTAAAGGGACTGTAAAGGAAAAATGAAAGGGGGTATAGGCTAATCACTTTAGCTCTTGATCGCGACCCATTAAAGTTTTATCTGATGTTCCTGTCTCGAGAAATTGATATAAAACTGTGTTAAAATTATACGAAAGTTCATATATGTAAAATTTAGAAAATCTTAAACTTAAATCACATGACCAGAATTATCACCAATGGCAGAGCAGTATACTGGTCAATGGTCATGTGTCTCCGCCTGTATCATGTGACCACTTTACTGCACTGCCATTGGTTGAATTTCTGGTCAAGTAATACGGACTTATAAATAATTTTATGAGTTAAATCTATTAAAAATAGAAATAAAAAATATAAAATTAGAATTGGAGTAAACCTAAGTTACAATTAGCTTTCTCTGGGATATCATCATTTTCAGATTGGTTGCTTATTTGCTGAATTTGATCTATCTAAACCCATTACTTTTATCGAGAGCTAAAGTGATTAGTTTTCAGTCTATACCCCCTTTCATTTTTCCTTTACAGTCCCTTTAAGTACTCTTTTAGGCACAACCAATTTAACTTTGAAGTAATTAATGGTCCTCATATCTTAGATAACTTGACATTTTTCTAAGGCTAAACTATTTGAGACAGAGATAAACCATTGACATCAGGAAGATCAGACACTGATTAAGGATAGTAGAAGTTCCTAGCTTCAAGTTTCAGAAACACTCTTTTATCAATGTAACTAAGGTATCTATCTCTTTCTGTCTGAGTCTTGATATTCAGGTATACAGGGGGGGAGGGCGAAAACACCCCCCCTGTAGTTTTTTATCCTAGAACTCTCATTTTTAACACTATCATCATGAAATTTTTTACTTTTAATGAATATTAATTAAAAGTATTTAAAAAAAATTTTTTTTACATGCATAGGGTTGGGTACACCATGGAAAAAATCTAAAATAGCTTTTATGTGAATAAAGCTATATATCTATATTTCTAAAAAGCCCTTGAAAAATGGATATAGAAACATATGTCACTCTTTCATATTTGTTTAAAACTAGAAAAATATTTTTTTTCATTTTTCTAACCCTTTTTTGCGTTTTTTTTTTAACCCTCCATAGCACAAAACTATTAAAGTTATCGATCTAATTTATTTTTTTCAGTGAGCTGGCCTTGGCAAATTGGGCTTTGAACATGCATTTCAACCCTATACCTATTCTCTAAGGCCTTTTTCTAGGAGGTCAAGTTTTACATTGTTGCTGGCCTCAGTTATTACCTATGTATGTAAGAACCTATTTGCTACTGCTTTTCCCTATATATAAGCTGCTCCTGGAGTGAAAAAATTGTGCAAAGACTTGCTTACATTTTGAGTAAAAATTGCACGAAATTTCGATGTTTTTCAGCATTGATGCACACAAGCTATTTTGTGCAAATTCTGAAGAAAATCTTGGTTTTCCCATATTTCATTATTTCGAGCTATTTCGAACTATTTCGTTATTTCGTTAAATTTCGAGAAAAAATTCCAGGAATTGATGAATAAAATCAAAATTAAACCAATCAGAGTTAGAGGCCGGGCCTGTCAACTATACTCCAACCGGTTCATTGCTCACACATGCTGGCCAAATGAGCACCAATTCTCAGGTTTTAGGTCATTCTGTTGATGATAGGAACTCCTGGAGTTAGAATCTGAGACAAGTCATCATGTGGATTCTGAGAGATCTATTAAGTGATCTCTTCAGAATATAACAGATGGATCTCCTGAATTGTAGCTAGCAGGAACTGTGATTATCAGAACTCCTATAGGGAAACCTCTGAGGATGGAGAGGACTGATACTAGTGTATGATCTGAGAAGAGATTGGAGATCTTCTCACGTTCCGTCCTATTATATTTGGGAACTCACTAAGAACTATCTTGTGCAGAACCATACTAATTTGTAGATTGAAGTCTGAAGATGATCTGAATGCTATCTGATTGTTGTATGATTGTATATGACTCCAAACATATCCAAAGAGAACAATATGTTGCTTCTATTCAGGTCAGCTGTATATTGAAGTTTGAGAGCTTGTATGAGACCGGATGTTACTTCGAGGTAGGTTTGGGGTTTACTAAGCTCTTCCGGAACCAGTCTCATATTTGAAAATAATAAAGGGAATGTGCTCAGGTATACTCAGTAAAGGGAATATATTAAATACTACAACTTAAACTTTTAAGATCACCTTATTTAGTACAACTAATCTTTTAATATAGACCTTAACTTTTCCATTAATTAAGCAAAAAAAGGGTTACGGCAATTATCTAGATAGAAAAAGAGAAGGAAAGCAGTTCATTAATTTGCCAAAACCCTTTAATGGTTAAAGATAAACTTGTTAACTTTAAACTTTTCTATTTGTCAGGAAAATGGCCTTTTAAAGTCTTTTATTTTGTTCCATTACCTTCTACAGTCATAGTGGGGGCAATGTTTATCATCTCTGCATTGCTTTATAAAAGAACCATCACATCTTCAAAGTGCCCTGTTTCCCTGTATTTTAACCCAGTTGTGAAAGGACTAGAGTCAGCATAGGGGGTCCTTCATGCGCCCGCCCCCGGTGGGGTATTTTTAGGGGGGTGACTGGTTTTAGTCACAATCTTCCTTTAAAAATGCCTTTTGTTTTATTGCAAGAATGGACAATTCAAATTTATTCTGAAATCTTTTCATTTACAAACATTGTATCAATCATAGCTTGCATTGACTAATAAATCCTGTAAATCCACAGTATTGCATAGATTTCCAAAGGCCACAATGAACATATAGGGTGTCCTAATAAAGGTAGGAATTAAAAGACAACTTAAAAATCGTCTTCAATTTCCAATAGTTGATAAATAACAAAGAGTTTTCAAAATAAAGACTAAGTGTCTTATGAGCTTTTGAAAATGTGGACTGCCTTCTTTGTTTCTTCAAAATTGATGGAGATATAAAAATCAGTTGAAAGATTTTGTTGCTAATCAGTAAATTAGAATCTGGACAGAAAATTTTCAAAATAACAGTTTTTGGCTTGTTTCTGCCTTCTACAGAATAAAGCTTTGAAATGTTAGAAGTCTAAAAACATTAAATGTTTCGGTAAAGAGAATCTAGCTAATGCCCATCCCTTATAAGGACACCCTGTAGGTTACACAAGAGACGCAAAGATTTACTTGATAGATTTTTAAAAGAAAAGTAAAAAGTCATTACAAAATGCAATGCATGTTCAATACAGGCTATTGCTTTTTAATGCTTTTTAAAAATTAAACAATAGGCTTTTAGCTAGTAACTGTTCAATACTAAACAAAAGAGGAGGTGAAGAATTTATTAATATATTTTGTTTCTTTTCCCTCGAGTGTGAAACTGTGAAATTTAGCGGGGCAGTTATCACCGTTGGACCAGTAGCAGTGGGCAGCTGTAGAAGAAAAAATAGGTTTTGACTTAAAAACATTCGTTTGTTTCCTTCTTATTCTTTAGCTATAGTTGCAAACAGATATTATATAAGAAAATTCTATGAAGGAAAGTGTTTGTTTAACTTCAAATTATTGGAATAGAATTAGGAACATTAACTAGCATAAAAAAAATTTAAAAAATAAATAATATGAATAAGATATTTAGAAGGGTTCATTTAAAGAAGCATTTTTAACAATTATTTGAAAAAGTATTAAATGTTCTGCAACAAACTAATGTCAAGTTTATAATCCCAGATATACAGATATATATTTACAAGGGTGATTCACAATCATCAACATTATTTTTGACTAGAGTGTCGCTTTTAAGGTGCACATACCTTTGTTTTATATATCAATTTTTTTTTTCTGATGTTTAATTAATTTAGCCGTTTTTTCAAACTTTAACACCTTTGTGCTACTTTTAAACATTAATAAATTCAATTTTTTTTCTTTCTATAATCTCAAAGTAAGCTGAATAAAAATATAATAGGCAATCTAATTTAGATTTTAACTTTAAATGACAAATTATTTTGTAATATTCGGAAATAAATTTGGCAGATTATCTCAAATTTATCATTTATCAGAATTGAAATATAGAATATTAGAATAATTCATGCAATTTAATATGTTTATGCTTCTAATCGAGACTAATATGTTTACTAGTCTCCTGTTTACGCTTCTAATCAAGACTACCCTGTTTATTTGTCTCATGTTTATTCTTCTAATCAAGACTACCCTGTTTATTAGTCTCCTGTTTATGCTTCTAATCAAGACTACCCTGTTAATTAGTCTCCTGTTTATGCTTCTAATCAAGACTAATATGTTTACTAGTCTCCTGTTTATGCTTCTAATAAAGACTACCCTGTTTATCAGTCTGCTGTTTATGCTTCTAATCAAGACTACCATGTTTATTAGTCTCCTGCTTATACTTCTAATCAAGACTAATATGTTTACCTGTCTCCTGTTTATGCTTCTAATCAAGACTAATATGTTTATTATCCTCCTGTTTATGGTTTTAATCAAGATTACCATGTTTTTTAGTCTCCTGTTTATGCTTCTATTCAAGACTACCATGTTTATTAGTTTTCTTTTTATGCTTCTAATCAAGACTACCATGTTTATTAGTCTCCTGTTTATGCTTCTAATCAAGACTACCATGTTTATTAGTCTCATGTTTATGCTTCAAATCAAGACTAATAAGTTTACCTGTCTCCTGTTTATGCTTCTAATCAAGACTACCCTGTTAATTAGTCTCCTGTTTATGCTTCTAATCAAGACTAATATGTTTACTAGTCTCATGTTTATTCTTCTAATCAAGAGTACCCTGTTTATTAGTCTCCTGTTTATGCTTCTATTCAAGACTAATATGTTTACTAGTCTCCTGTTTATGCTTCTAATCAAGACTACCCTGTTTATTAGTCTCCTGTTAATGCTTCTAATCAAGACTAATTTGTTTACTAGTCTCCTGTTTATGCTTCTAATCAAGACTACCCTGTTTATTAGTCTCCTGTTTATGCTTCTAATCAAGACTAATATGTTTATGTTTACCTGTCTCCTGTTTATGCTTCTAATCAAGACTACCATGTTTATAAGTCTCCTGTTTATGCTTCTAATCAAGACTACCCTGTTTATTAGTCTCCTGTTTATGCTTCTAATCAAAACTACCATGTTTACCTGTCTCCTGTTTATGCTTCTAATCAAGACTAATATGTTTATTAGTCTCCTGTTTATGCTTCTAATCAAGACTACCATGTTTACCTGTCTCCTATTTATGCTTCTAATCAAGACTAATATGTTTATTAGTCTCTATTTATTAATAAAGACTAATATGTGTATTAGTCTCCTGTTTATGCTTCTAATCAAGACTACCCTGTTTATTAGTCTCCTGTTAATGCTTCTAATCAAGACTAATTTGTTTACTAGTCTCCTGTTTATGCTTCTAATCAAGACTAATATGTTTACTAGTCTCCTGTTTTTGCTTCTAATCAAGACTACCATGTTTATTAGTCTCATGTTTATGCTTCTAATCAAGACTAATATGTTTATTAGTCTCCTGTTTATGCTTCTAATCAAGACTAATATGTTTATTAGTCTCCTGTTTATGCTTCTAATCAAGACTACCATGTTTGTTAGTCTCATGTTTATGCTTCTAATCAAGACTACCCTGTTTATTAGTCTCCTGTTTATGCTTCTAATCAAGACTACCCTGTTTATTAGTCTCCTGCTTATGCTTCTAATCAAGACTACCATGTTTACCTGTCTCCTGTTTATGCTTCTAATCAAGACTACCCTGTTTATTAGTCTCCTGTTCATGCTTCTAATCATCAGTCTGTTGTTTATGCTTCTTATCAAAACTACCCTGTTTATTAGTCTCCTGTTTATGCTTCTAATCAAGACTAATATGTTTATTAGTCTCCTGTTTATGCTTCTAATCAAGACTACCATGTTTATTAGTCTCCTGTTTATGTTTCTAATCAAGACTACCCTGTTTATTAGTCTCCTGTTTATGCTTTTAATCAAGACTACCATGTTTACCTGTCTCCTGTTTATGCTTCTAATCAATACTAATATGTTTATTAGTCTCCTGTTTATGCTGCTAATCAAGACTACCCTGTTTATTAGTCTCATGATTATGCTTCTAATCAAGACTACCATGTTTATTAGTCTCCTGTTTATGCTTCTAATCAAGACTACCATGTTTATTAGTCTCCTGTTTATGCTTCTAATCAAGANCTATTCCCCCTAAAAAAAAGAATTAAATTGCATGAATTATTCTAATATTCTATATTACAATTCTGAGAAATAATAAATTTGATAAAATCCGCCAATTTATTAATTTCTTTTAGAATATCATATAATAATTTGTCATTTAGAGTTAAAAATTTAAGCATGTCAAATTGGAAACCCCCCACCCCTCATAATTTATTGTCAGTTTTTATTTTTTCCTGAGAGTACATGTTGTTCAGTGATGAGTACACCTCCACATTTCAAATGACTCTTTCCTAAACACAAATAAAATGAGAAGTTTGTTTTTGAACTCCCCCTCCCCCCATTCTTTTCAAGATTAATATTATATTAGTTAGAAAAGGATTTTAAAAGATATAAGAGCAGTGGCAGAACTAGGGGGGTGAACCGAGTTTCACCCCCCCCCCTCAGCATATTTTGCCCACCTAACTTGACTCAAGCATGATCATGATTGAGGACTATTTTTTATCAAATTTTGTCAATTAAGAAAAAAATACCAAAATTTTTCTTTGGCGCTTCGCACATCATTGCTACTTGAATTTTCTCGTTTTTGACTTAAAGAAAGTCAGTCACTTTTAACTTAAGGTTCAAAATGAAGAATAACAAGAAATATAATAAGGATTATATTACTATTAGGACTCTCTCAGACTATAAGAGGAAAACAAACAACAAACAAAACAATGACAGTGGGACTTGGATCAGAAAGTATTGTATTAAGTATTATAGTAATTATTGTTTATATGGACAGACGAAAAGTAGTCAAATACTGCCAGGAACTACTTACCATATACTTAGGACTACACAGACCTATGATTAAGGGACTATATAGTGGATGAAATCCAAAGAACTGCTGTAGACTGTAATTAGGGACTTTACATACATTGTGAATATGACTAAACCAGGGACTAACAGCCACTTTAAGACATACATGAAAAGACACTACAAGAACAGAAATTTGTTGGTGCTTTGTTTAATTAACTTACTCATGTTGGTCATTTTAAAGCTCTTGGATGTATATTTTTTTAAACACAAGAACAAACCTTGAATATTTTAAGAATTTGTTATATTATTGAGCACAGAGCCATCCCCTCAACAAATGCTAGGTTTTTTACTAAAAATCCTGAAAACAGTACTTTCCTCTTGAAAAAAATTACAAACCCTCTCAAAACAAAATTTTGCTCCCCCTAATAAAGTACTCACTTTGAAACTTAATAAGAGCATGCCATGGTTGCATCTCTGAACAAGTATCTTTTCCTCCACTAATACGGCCTGTAGGAAATTCACAGGAGAGTGATCCTTTTCCGCATCTATCTGAATTCACTAAATAATGAGTGTGCATTTTTTTCAGAAGAAGCTATTATTATCTTGTAAATAATCAATAAAAAAATTGTTGTTTGTTGAATTGTGAAATATAGAGTTTAATGTTAGGTTACTTCTGTTTATAGATTAAATCAAATTATATTAACCTTGGGATTGTGAATAGACCACAGGCAGAAATAGGACCATGAACAATAGACATTTCATCCTAAATTTTAATGTTTCCATATTTCTAAATAGTACTTGTATGAAAAGATTATGAGGTCAAAATCATTTAACATGCCCTAAGTAGGGTACTATTAGCATTAAATTTTAATTTGCTAAAGTAATTTTTCTTTAAAAATGCATATTTGTTAACCCTAAACAATGAGTTTACTCCGTTGCAAAGTCGTATTTGACCAAGAATTCTACGGCAGCCAAACCGAACATTTTCACTCCCCCCCTCCCCCGACAAAAGTATAAACATCTTCACGTGCAGTCCTTTCACTTCGAATTCAGTTAAAAATCCTTACAACTAGTGACTTACATATCTTTGTAACCAATTGTCAGTTAATTTCAGAAGTTAAATGTTGTTTTATCCTTGATAACCAGACGCCTCAATTTACCACACCATCCTCAACTAGTAAGGATGTTTTATAATATAAAAAAAAAACATTGATAGGATTGAAATATACCTACTACGTGTATTATCTTCTATGGATTTGTGGCGAATTTGAGAAAACCTCTGGAACTATTGCCACTATTGCCTAGTATTGCCAACTATTGCCTAGTATTGCCAACTATTGCCATCTATTGCCGACTATTGTCAACTATTGCCTATTATTGCCAACTATTGGCAGCTATTGCCTAGTATTGCCAACATTCTATTGTCAACTTGAGACCTCAATCGACCGGTACCTTAGTTTGGGAAATATATACCCCTTGTGGTTCAGTCCCTGAAAGATTACTGTATAAGTTTCCCACTGTACATTTCGAGATCAACCCCTTGTTTAGCTCAACAATATTATGTATATATATATGTATTATCCCCTTAATAATAATGATTATGATGATTATGATATAATTATGTTTAAAAAGTAACAAAATATTGTTTAGACCAAATTTTGCATTTATGATTAATAAAAAATGAAATTAAAAATGATTTTTGTTTTTGTTTCTTCATTTTGTTTTGTTTAATAATTTCAAATTTATTTAATTTTTTTGTTTGTTTTTAAAGTATCAAAACAATTTCGAAAATTGTTTGTTTTTATCCAAAACAATCTCAAAGACAAATATTCATAATAAGCCAAAAATAATTGTTTTAAAAATTGAAACCTGTCTGTCCCAAAGCCACTGCTTCTATTTTTCAACCCAGGAGACAATGAATGCTGAAGTAAAAAAAATTGTTTGAATATATTACTTTTGATGGTAGGAAAAATATGGTTAGTTTATACAGAAAAATATGGTTAGTTTATACAGAAAATATGGTTAGTTTATACAGAAAATATGGTTAGTTTATACAGAAAAAATTAAATCATATTTATAACATATTTGTATTCCTAATACATTGCTTCTTGACAAAGAAATATTAGAATAAAAGAAAGAGTAGTTATTATCTAGATTCTAGCTCAGGAGTTCATAAACAATGTTTACTCCATATTTCAATTAAACTGTTTGTAAAACTAAAAATAAAAAAAGATTAAATGAAAGATTTTCATTAAAAATATTATGTTTTAGAATTTCCGTAGTCCTTAAAATTTGGAATGTCTGTTGATATGCATCATGCATATCAAACTTTACTGTAAAGAAATAACTCTGTCTTGAAACAGTAGTTTGAATTATCACTAACCAGGATCATTATAACCAACTAAATGCGAAGAGAGATTGGAAAGTAAAATTTATGAGAAATGTATTGCAGTACTTTGTGACCTTGTAGGCCTTCTAATTTTAATTTCATGCACAAGTAAGAGAAGAGAATATTTATCTGGTTAAATATTAAAAATTCAAAACATTTTTGTTCTTCTCAATAGTTCTTCAATAAGAGAAGTAATTATTGAAAACATCTAAGATTTGAATATTACGTAAAATTAACAGTATATGATTGTACACTATTCATTGTACAAATATGTAAATATTTATTTTACAGTGGGTGAAAATTGTAAAGTGCATATTATGCAATATATATTATATAGTGAAATGATTATACCCTATTATATCATTAACAAATTACAGAAGACATAAATCCCTGGATATCGAGATCAACCATTTGCTCCCTCGTCTGAAGGGTAAACAAATGTTTCCCTCTAAATCCCAATACCAATTTTATGAATTCCCAAAACTCTCTTTCTATATATAGGTCTATATCTATCTGTTAGAGTATGAATGAATGAAATTTAACAGCTTTTCAGTTTATTGGTCTAAATATATTTGTTCAAGTTTATTCCTAGTTTAATGAGCTTTCTATTTAAAAATCCACAGCTCCTTTTGTATTTAAGCAGCTTCCTCAGCTTGATATATTGTTTAGCTTCTCCAGTTCAGTAACTCTTATACTGTAATCCTGGATGACACTGTAGCTGCTTCTAGAGTTTCCACTAATCCAGCTGCTCCTCCAATATGAGATGTGTGCATGATATCCACAGCTGCTCCTACAATATGAAATGCTCCTATTATATCCACAGCTGCGTCTACAATATGAGATGCTCCTATTATGTCCACAGCTGCTCCTACAATATGAGATGTTTCCACGATATCCACAACTGCTTCCTTTATTACCAGAGCTGCTCCTAGAGTCTCTGTTATGCTATCTGTACATTACCGGAGCAGCTCCAAGAGTCTCTGATACTCTGGTTGCTCCTAAAATCAGAGATGCTCCTACTATCTGAGATGATCCAACTAGCTGAGATGCTTCCACTGTATCCCCAGCTGCTTCTTTACTATAGGAGCTGCTCCTGGAGTTCTTACAATCTGAGTGGTGTCTCCGTACTCAGGATCTATTCCGCAGCTGCTTCTACAATAGGTATGTGAAGAGCTGTGTGTGAGGAGCAGCGTATCCTGCCTTAAGATCATCTTGTATGTTGCTCTTGGAGTCCTATGTCTGGCAGGATGCTCTAGTTCTCCTCTATATCTTGGAGCTTATAATTCCTTCCTGTATCCTGGATATCCTAGTTCCCCTCTATATCTATATCCTGGATATCCTAGTTCCCTTCTGTATCTTAGAGCTTCTAGTTCCTCTCTGTATCCTGGATATCCTAGAAGGTAGTTTCGGCTGGCTGGACTAGCTGGTTTAAAAGAACTGTTTCTACAACCGAGTTGTGAAGAGCTGTATGTAAAGACCAGTGTCCATTGTCTCAATATTATCTTATTCTTTTATAATAAATATGTGGAGAGCTGTCTGTAAAGAGCAGCTTCTCCAATATAAGAATCAGCTTCTGCTCCAAGAGCCATAAGCCTGAATCGATTTCCTAGCTGCTCCGGAGGTGTGAAGAGCTGTCTATCAAGAGCAGTTTCTCCAATATAAGATTAGCAGCATCCAATAGCTTGGATGTTCTAGTTCTCTCCTGTATTCGTATGGGTAGTTTAGACGGGCTGGTATGAGAGCAATTGGTCCGATCCCAGAAACTGAAGGGTATAAATCTCTTGATGAGATTGAGTGGATCTCCTAGTTCTCACTGGATCATCTCAGGATGAGGTAGCATCTGGTATCCTGGATTATATCATTTATATCTTTAGGTTCTGTATTTTGCTTTGACTCAGAAAACCAATAGAGAAAGGGGCGTGGAGGAGGATTGTAGTATGAGTAATCCATGCTTTAAATATTGCAATAGTGTTTAATATTGTAATAATATTATTATTGTCTTCAATTACAAGCCAACAAGTAATAAAGAACATATATTGATAAAAACTTTTGTTTTCAAACTTGAATTACGGGATTTATTAAAGGTTTTAACAGAGAGTGTTATGTGCGCAAACCTAAAATTTTCAAAATGAAGAAAAACTATGCATTCTAAAAAAATGTTTATAAAACCATTATTTAAGACAATCTTGGTTTATGAAAATTTATGAAATAAGTCTTTAAGTAAATTGCAAGGAATGTAAGATAGGTAGTTGACTAGTTAAAATCAATTATCTAAAAATCTAAATTTAACATCATTGAGGAAATATTCATAACATTCAATGCCCTTAATGAATTAATAATTTTGACCCAAATAATATCAAAAACTTTTTAAATCTGACAAGATCTGATATTTGCAATTTTAATTAGATAGCAAAAAAATTACGTTGTGCCACACACATAAATTTTCTAATCTCTATACCTTCATTTAACTTGATGAAGTAAACCTTTGATATTTCAAATTTTGACTTTTTGATCCAACAAAATTCACAATTTGAAATATAAAAGGTCTAAAACATTGGGTTGCAAAGATATAGATATTTAAAAACAAGAGTTTGTTGCAATAATCAAGTTCCTATAGACAAATTTTGGTTTGCATGGGAAGATTATCAAGGGGCAGCTGGATACGTCTTTTGCCCAATGCTGACCCTCATTAAAGAATCTACTTGTAGAACAGGAAGCGTCAGGACAGCTACCAGAAGCTTTAAAAAGCTTCGAAAAATGATACTACAGTGAAACCCTTAATAAAGAATACATAAAAAGAATTCATCAAATGTCGTCCTCTTCACTTTCTGATAATGGAATGTTGCAGATATTTAGTTTTTTAATTAAATGATTATATGGAACTCTTTAAAACTGTTCCCGCATATTCATGGCTATTTATTTATTTTTGCAAATACTGAAGTTTACGTAATATAGTATAAAACTTATTGAAAAATTGTCAAGACGACATTTGATAAATTCTTCCGATGTATTCGTTATTAAGGGTTGACTGTAGAAAAATCAGAACCTTTTCTAGAAATATCAGGACAGCTACTAAAACTACTGTCAAAGCATCAGGACAGCAATAAACAGATCAATGACCACTAACAGTTTCAGTACCAGACGGACCAGGACCAGATGAATCAAGACTGCTACAATGTTACCAGAAGCTTTAGGACTGCATCAAATAGCTTCATGATGGCTGCTTTAGTTTTAAATTAAATTTTATTAGGGCCCATCTGATAATCAAAATTTCAGGCATACTTAAGAAGCAAGGCTTTCAATCTTTTATTAAACATGCATTATTATTAATTCGGAAAATACTTGATTTTGAGAGTCCTATCTTTACCTTTTAACCCTTTAAAGGCGGGGTGGGAGGGATTTGGCGCCGCCCCCCGTAGAAAAAGCTGTTAAAGAAGAGGTATAGGGTTGAATATGAAATGCATGTGCATAGCCCATTTGTCAAGGCCAGTTAGTTGAAAGAAAATTAGACCGATAACTTTAATAGTTTGGGTGCTAGGGAGGGTTGAAAAAGAATTTAAAAAAAGGTCAGAAAAATAAAAAAAAATATCAAAGTGTGACACATGTTTCTACATCCATTTTTCAAGGGCTTTTCAAAAATATAGTATTTAGATCTGTAGCTTCAGTTACTAAAAAGTTATGGGCTATTTTAGTTTTTTTTCCAAAGACCGGATTTTTTTCCCATCTGTACCCTACCCTATGCACTAAAAAGAAGTTTTACAAAAAAATACTTTAAATTACTTATCATTAAAAGTCACAAAATTTCACGATGATAGTGTTAAAAATGAGAGTACTAGGACAAAAAACCTGCAGGCTGTTTAGGGTTAAGTTATCGGAAAAAAAACCACTCTATTTTAATATTTTTATATATATATATTATGCGCAATAAATATTTACTTCTACTGAATTACTATTGTGAGAGGGCACAAAATGATATCAGACTGACGCATAAATTTTACTTTTTCCTTCTGGCTGGTTTACAGTGCTAGCCAGATAATGCTACTTCATTTTTATTTATTCTAATTTGTCGCACATACATTGATTTGCATACTTCATTTTGTTTGCCTAGAAGCACACTATTTTCTGGGTAATCTGGATTATCTAGATGTGAACTTTGATTTTGTGAAGAATTTTGTTGGTTTTCTGTTCATCATGATCAACAGAATTAAGTTCATTTCAAATTCATTACGTTGTAACTGTAGTAAAATTCGTATAACTCAGATGGATTGAATTAATATTTAAAGAAAATAGTTTCTATCAAATGTGTTGATATTAAAATTGTTTACATGGAAAAACTTGATAGACGAGTACGTGATTTTCTTGGAATTAAGATTTAATGCAAGCTCAAGTAAGCCCTTATGTTTATACAATTTATTACGTCTCAAAGTCCAATTCAATGGATTGATCATGAATTAATAAATTATCCGAAATTAAACTTTGAAAATTGATGATGTTTAATTGTGAGCTATGGACAAAACTGACCTGCAGATTCCTACAAGAAACAATGAGGAACATTTCAGAATTAAAAACTTCTCCAGGTTTAAAGGTTTAAAGGGTACTGTTCTAAAACCAGCATGCTCCTCTTCAATAAAAGAGTTCATTTGAAATTCCAAGGACAGTCCATTTTCATATTTGAGGCCTGGTATTTACTCCTGTGTTCTGCCCAACCTAGGATGGATTTATAATAATACAAATACATTTGGATGCTTTACTATGTAATATCATTGTAAATAAATCTTATGTAAATGTAATATTGTTATAATATTAACACCAATTATAATGTGATTTCATATAAATTAAATGTAATATTATGCTTGCTACTATGTAATATCATTGTAAATAAATCTTATGTAAATATGATATTGTTATAATATTATCACCAATTATAATGTGATTTCATATAAATTAAATGTAATATTATGGTTGCTACTATGTTATATCATTGTAAATAAATCTCACGTAAATATGATATTGTTATAATATTATCACCAATTATAATGTAATTTCATATAAATTAAATGTAATATTATGGTTGTTACTATGTAATATCATTGTAAATATATCTTGCGTAAATGTGATATTGTTGTAATATTATCACCAATTATAATGTGATTTCATATAAATTAAATGTAATATTATGGTTGCTACTATGTTATATCATTGTAAATAAATCTCATGTAAATATGATATTGTTATAATATTATCACCAATTATAATGTGATTTCATATAAATTAAATGTAATATTATGGTTGTTACTATGTAATATCATTGTAAATAAATCTTACATGTAAATATGATATTGTTATAATATTATCACCAATTATAATGTGATTTCATATAAATTAAATGTAATATTATGGTTGCTACTATGTAATATCATTGTAAATATATCTTATGTAAATGTAATATGGTTATAATATTATCACCAATTATAATGTGATTCCATTTAAATTAAATGTAATATTATGGTTGCTACTATGTTATATCATTGTAAATAAATCTTGCGTAAATATGATATTGTTATAATATTATCACCAATTATAATGTAATTTCATATAAATTAAATGTAATATTATGGTTGTTACTATGTTATATCATTGTAAATATATCTTGCGTAAATATGATATTGTTGTAATATTATCACCAATTATAATGTAATTTCATATAAATTGAATGTAATATTATGGTTGTTACATAACTGCTATAGCATTTTTATTTCGAATCTTTTAAAAACTAAGAAAGTTATATATTAAGGTTACCCTATTTGATATATTTCAGCCATCTTAATCTGAGGCCGAATTTAAAAAGTTGATCCACGGCTTAAATTTGAGACGCAGGTCAAATATGATTGGTTCCACTAAAAAACATATTCAATGTTTCAAAATTTTAGCCAGCGCTCATTTGAAACCGTTTTTTTTTTGGCGTATTTGAGACGCAGCTCAAATTCGGACTATGAACACCTTATTTTTTCCTTTATTATTGAAACCTTGTTTATCCGGCTCTGGGTTCTTAAAAATCCTGTTTGATCCCTGTATTCTTGGACACCCTGTTTTTATCCATGTATTCTGGGACACCATGTTTAGCCCTTTATTTCTGGACACCCTNGAGACGCAGCTCAAATTCGGACTATGAACACCTTATTTTTTCCTTTATTATTGAAACCTTGTTTATCCGGCTCTGGGTTCTTAAAAATCCTGTTTATCCCTGTATTCTGGGACACCCTGTTTTTATCCATGTATTCTGGGATACCATGTTTAGCCCTTTATTTCTGGACACCCTGTTTATCGCTGTATTCTAGGACACCCTGTTTATCCCTTTATTCTGAGACACCCTGTTTATCCCTTTCTTCTTGGACACCCTATTTATCCCTGTATTCTGGGACACCCTGTTTATCCCTTTATTCCTGGACACCCTGTAATATCTTTATTCTGGAACACCCATAGATAAAGATAGATTGCGCATAAGACGACATTTTTAATCTTGAAAGATATAAATGTACAGAGATGTTTTAAAGATATTCCTATTATATAGATTAACTAGGTCGGTTGTGAACATTGTCTGTTCTTATGGCATTGAGTACTTGTGGTGTACATGAGTTCTGTAGAGAGAAATTTATGTTAGTTTAGTCCTTCTCATGTCCTTCTTCAGTTCTCGGCAATATGATATATTCCTCAGTGAAATATTGTTGTTCAAAAAGTTCCATTCCCGGAGTCATTTTACACTCTATTATGAAATCCATTAAAACACCAAACCACCTCGCTTATCATTGAAGTACACTTTGACCCCTAGAAGTATGAGTTCCCCGACTGTACAATTCTTGGTGATTTTGCGTACATAAGCTATTTATTTTATTTATTTATGGGAACACCCTGTTTATCCTGTTATTCTGGGACAGCCTGTTTATCCCTTTATTACTAAACACGATGTCTATCTCTATATTCCGGGACACCCTGTTTATCCCTGCATTATGGGACATCCTGTTTATTCCGGTATTCTGGGACACCCTGTTTATCCCTTTATTATGAGACACCCTTTTTATCCCTTTCTTCTTGGACTCACTGTTTATCTCTGTATTTTGGGACACCCTGTTTATCCCTGTATTCCTGGACACCCTGATACACACGTATTCTCGGATGCCATTTATATCACACCAAACTAAAGTGAACATAGGCTTATATGTTACACATGTATTCTCTAGTGCCATCTATATCCCACCAAACTAAAGTGAACATAGGCTTATATGTTACACACATTTTCTCTAGTGCCATCTATATCAAATATAGGCTTACATGATACACATGTATTCTCCAGTGCCATCTATATCACACCAAACTAAAGTGAACATAGGCTTATATGTTACACACATTTTCTCTAGTGCCATCTATATCACACCAGACTAAAGTAAATATAGGTTTACATGATACACATGTATTCTCCAGTGCCATCTATATCACACCAAACTAAAGTAAATATAGGTGTACATGATACACACATATTCTCCGGTGCCATCTATATCACACCAAACTAAAGTAAATATAGGCTTACATGTACACACATAGTCTCCGGTGCCATCTATATCACACCAATCTAAAGTAAATATAGGCTTACATGATACACATGTATTCTCCGGTGCCATCTTTATCACACCAATCTAAAGTAAATATAGGCTTACATGATACACATGTATTCTCCGGTGCCATCTATATCACACCAAACTAAAGTAAATATAGGCTTACATGATACAT